TATTGGTGTGGAAACTAGTTATTTTTTTCAGCATTTTGTGGATTTTTCTTTCCTCTATTTCCTGTATTCCTCACAGCAAAACGACAACAGTTAAGGCAATGTGCCTTCATTTTGTGGGCTATATGTCCCCTTTCCTGATGTGCTCAACAAAAATGGCTGTAAAACACCAAACTATTGAACTGTGATAAACAGGAAACAATAAAGAGTCACAAACGAGCGTCTAATATTACTTCCGCATTGGTCAAATTTGGGCAACGTAAACAACATAGGCAACATAGATCTTTCCTTTTCCAGCTTACTGTTGAGAATTCTCCTGAAAATAAATCTGTTTTTACTAAAGAAATTTTAGCTGTTCAGAAAAGAAGCTTATTAGGAACTTGATTTGTGCTTTCGTGCAGCAAACAGTTTTACAATAGCCACCTTCTTCACCTAGAGAAGCCTCTCAAGAGGAGACCGCTGGTCATTACTGCTTTGGAAGGTGTTTAAGCGATGAAGACGCCAATCAATTGAGTTCTTCTCGTTTAGCCATTACCGTAGAATAGTTGTTTTTCAGAGTTTATCCCCGTGCTTGCTACTCTTCTGTCGCTTGTGTAGCAGCTCAAAACTACATTTTTTGACTTAGTATTATTTGCCTGCTTCAGAATGTTTTTCTGGTCATCTATTTACTTTTTTATGTCTAATGGTTTTCTCTAATCTTAGGTTGACTTCAGAAAAGTGCCTGTAGAGACTGCCCACGAGACCAACGGGTTTAGCTATCCCAAGTGTTCCTCAGGTTGTACAACAAGCTTTTAACCAGTAAAACGTCCTATAATGACAGGTTATTCAACAACTTAAGATTTTACTACTTGCGTCTAATGACAACTTTCTTCGTAATCAGTTCTCTTAAGTTACTTAATGCTGTAAGCATCAACAACTGCAATTATTCACAGTAGCTCACCGCAGAGATTAGGCTCTCAGTAAGGACGTATATAGAGAAATTTTAGTGTTTTGCAGCCTAAAGAAATTTTTGATAGCTCGACAAGAACCTACAGTTTTAATTGCTCCACAGTATTGCGACAAGTATCATTCAGTTAATCTTAAATTCACATTTCTGATAAATTTCTGGCGGTTACAAATAGATAGCAGGCCTAGTTGCTACAGCTAACAATGTAACAGTGGAAGACATCTGATTTGGATACTACAGTAAAAATTTTATGGTAAAAAAGTTTATTAGTTTTAATAAATAAAATTTAAAATTCAATTAATGAAGAACAGAAAACAGTTAGAGCACAGAACTGCATAACCTTAGGCATTAACGCAATTTGCAGACATAAAATTGCTAATAGTGGTGGTAACTCCATTTGCTGTTGTTGTGCCTTGAAAGAATAATCCATTGCTTCCTGGCGGACATATAACGGTCATTGTGAAAGTGCCCGTAAATGGAACGTTTCCAACATTATTACCGCCAAGTGCAACAGCATCAAAAAGTTGTACTTGGCAATTTGTATTTCCTGCAGTACATGTACAAGTTGCCGTATAAGATTCACATCCGTTTGCATCAGTAGTCGGACCTGTTATCGCGAAATTTATAAAAAGATTAGCAGGCTCTATTTCGCAAACACAAGCTGAAAATAGACAAAACCACTTTATCGCTGGCGTGTGAGTATGTACGAAGTAAGGACTGGTAAGTCATGAAACAAATTATGGTGACAACCTGCTGCCTGCGTTGCAGCACAAGCATCGACATAATTCTGGCCAATCTTTGTTCCAAACATCAGAAGCACAAACGCTGAAAGATAAATGTACAGCAGCTGATGTAGAAACTGTTCTTGGCACAGTGTTGCAAAATTGCAAAATAATTGCAAGCTATAAAAGATTTTTGATTTTGTAGTTTTGTAGTTGTTTTAATTGATGATGAAAGGATGTGGCATTGGAACATTGACAGGAATATCACTCGTTTAAGCTTATTTGTGCCAGGCATCAAATGTCCTGTTCTATCCGTTTGATTTCATTTTGAACTTGTATTTTCCAGCACTAACAAAACTAAAATTCTTTTTGTAAAATTTATTTGATTTTCTATAGTGAAAATGATTTGATCGTTTTGATTTATTAGTTAGAAAAGGACTGCGTGATCGAGCATGATCATAATAGCAGACCGTAGCACTTCCAGATCGTCAATTTGGTAAGAAATATTTCAGTTTAAAGTTTTTGCAGCACATGCAGGTGGTTTCTTAATGAGTAAAAACTCGTTCAGCACAGATGGAATAACCGTAAGCTGTTAGCTGGACAAAATTGTTCTGCATTAACTACTAAATCACTTCTTCTGTAATCAGATCAATAGAGAACTTCTTGTTTTTGAACAGATACAGAGATTCTTAAATAATTGCTTAAATGAAAGAGGAACAAAGAAAAATATTGAATTCCGAAATAAGTCAAAAAACTGTTTTCGTATTCCTGTTTTCCGTTTGCAAAAGTTGTGAGACGAAAATTTTCAAAACTGTTTCCACAGCCATCTTGTTTAATATAAGACAAATTCTAGTGCGAAAACACTTATACGGTTTTTTTCTCATCCAGTGCACCGGTATAGTATATGAGAAAAAATCATGTGTAGCAGAAAAAGACAAACCATTGTTTAAGTAAATTTTGATTAGCAATAAATATTACTTACCGTCAAATGAAACAGCTGAGATTCTGTTAGTAAGAGCCATAATCCAAAAGCTTGATCTCTGGATTTAGTGAAACGAGTGACTGATTAAAGATTTGCTGTCATTAAATATAAGGCAAAAAGTGGGATTTTTGAAACGAATCCAACCCGGTTTTTAACTTTTCCTTGATAACTGACAAGATAATCATAAAGATCAGTTCTCATATTCAGTTGTTACTTTCGAAACAATGCTTTGCCGTATCATGGTGGTCACCAAAGAGAATTTTATTAAGAGAAGTTCTGCGTTGTTCATTTTTTTATACTTCTTTGAATGCCAAAAAAAAAAGTTATCTTTTATCAAGAAATGCCTAAAAATTTTTCATTTTTTTGTGTTTAAATCTTAAAAATTATGACAAATAAACAAAGAAGTCACTTTTTCGAAGTGAATTTTTTTTTTTTACTTTGTTTTTCTCACTTTTCTTTCTGCTTTTTTCTTCCTACATTTTTTTTACTTTTGCAGTCTGAACAACAGATGACGATTACATCTTGACCAACCAACATTCGGACTTTATTTGTTACCGAAACCTAACAATAAAATCGTAGTTTTTTCTGCTTTTTATGTATAACACGAATTGTTCTCAGCGGTTATCGACTGACTGCTAAGCCAGTTTATCAAAAATTTCGCTAGCATTTTATACAGCATTTCCAAACAAAAAAAATTAATGCTATTTATCATCAAATAATTTAATTTAAGTATAAAATAAACTTACTGACCAAAAATTGGTCTTTTTTACAGTTTTTTTTTGTCAACAGTCATTTGTTATCAGCTACAGGCCTGTGTTGCTACGAACCTATGAAACTGTGTTGGTCCTGGAAGTTTTGTAAAAATAGACTTTGACCAAGTTTTCTAAAAAACCGTTTGACAGAATTTAATTACATTTTTATTCCTATTCAGGTTTCAATGCATAACAGATTTTTTTTAATTCACTTTTCTTCAATAGCTAAGTTTCATGAGGAAAAAATAAAAATAATTCTCATTTTTTTTCTGTCTTTTATATGTCAAGTTTTTGAAATGTTCCACTCTTTCCTTAATCCATCTTTCTCATTTTTCAGACGAAACATCTCAATAAGAAATTAATTAGTCGTTTCAACAAATTTCAACATAAGCAACTTTATAACCCACAAAAAGTGCTTACAGGAAAGAACTGCGTTGAAATATTTGTCGGTTATTGTCGTGGAAAGTTAATTAATTTCTCCCACACTGCAACAAAACTTTCACTAGTCGGTAATGTCAACTTCACGACTGGTGAAGGAAAAACTGTGACATATGGTGCCATATTCCGCCACTGTTTCTTTACCAGAACCAGAATTTGTAAATTTTATAAGAAAAACGTTAATTTTATTAACCATTTTGATGCTAAGAAAAGCCTCTGCACTTTGCAACATTATCGAGACACTGTCCTGCAAAGTTATAATTATTTTAACGATATTTTAACTAATAAAAAAACATTTTTTTTCCAAAGTTGGTTTAGCTTGAAAGACGTTTTCTAAAGAAAATTTGAATTGAATTTTCGCAGTGTGCCTTTTTTTTTTTTCAAATTGTTTTGCAAAATCTTTGAAGATGCCTACAGAAACAACTGGACCTCAGCAGCAGCGTT